ATGACATGTGTCCACAGCCAAAAGCACCTACAAACGGCATGTGAGCATCAGAACTGGACCAGGTAGCACTGGAAGAAGGTGGCCTGGTCTGAGGAATCATGATTTCTTTTACATCATGTGGATGGCCGAGTGTGTGTCCGTCATTTACCTGGGGAAGAGATGGCACCAGGATGCAATATGAGAAGATGGCAAGCCAACAGAGGCAGTGTGATACTTTGGGCAATGTTCTGCTGGGAAACCTTGGGCCGTGCCATTCATGTGACATCATTTGACATGTACCATCTACCTAAACATTGTTGTTGAGCAAGTACACCGCTTTGTGTAAGCAGTATTCCCTGATGGCATTGACCTCTTTTAGTAGGAAAATGTGCCCTGCCACATTGCAAAAATGGTTCAAGAATGGTTTGAGAAACACAATGAGTTTGAGGTGTTAACTTGGCCACCAAATTTTCCAAATCTCAATCCAATCCAGCATTTGTGTGATGTGCTGGAAAAACAAGTCCGATCCATGGAGGTCCCACCTCAAAACTTATAGGACTTAAAGGTTCTGCTACTGATGGCTTGGTGCCAATACCACAGCATACCTTCAGAGGTCTAGTGGTGTCCATGACTTGACAGGTCAGGGCTGTTTTGGTGGCAAAAGTGGACCTATTCAATATTAGGTGGGTGGTCATAAAGTTATTACTGATCGGTGTATAGGCCATACTCATTAAAATAAAAATAAAAAAATAGATACTCTTTTTATGTTGGGGTTAGCTGTGATTACCAGATGACTTTTCCCCCCCTCCTTCCTCACAGCTACAAGAGCTTGGGGGGTGGTGACTGCAGAAAACACTTTATAGCTTCAGCCAACATCATAAAGGGCACTCCACAGTAATGTTATTTCCCCGTCTATCAACTGTGGAACTGAATCTGACTATGGGACTACAGGCATTCCTTGCACTGGCACAGCATCCTGTAGCTCTTAAGTCAGGAGAAGGAACACAAGCTGGCCACACTAGGATAGTTCTACTTCTATGCCTAGCATGGTCAGTTTGAAACAGAGACCAACCAGGGATTTAGCCAATAAAAACCTTACAGGCTACCTATATTTAGGAACTATATGTATAATACAACTCATTAATGAAATTTCACATTTTGGGGTATCAGCAATCAGGGATGTGGGGAACACAGCATATCAACACTCCCAGATGTGTTGGTGTCCAAGCTTTGAGGGACCTGTTCTAGTGATCATAGTGGTACTTGAGCACTGGGAAAGGTAAGTATTTACTGCCCTCTTTTTCAGATAAACAGACTTTTTAAAAAATCCAACACACTTGTTTTTAAAGAAGAAAGACTGAAGGAAAGAGGGACAAAGGGGTTATGTTGGGTAAGGACTATAGAGACGGATAGTGTGGCGTTTTCAAACAGGCAACATGCCAAATTGCATATAAGGAATCAAACAGAACTGATACACAAGCATATCTAGAAATGTTAACAACCTGTTGTAATACCTTTTTATCTATTGACATACCTCCTTAGACCCAGTGGGGTTTATTTACTAAAGCTGGAGAGTCCGAAATCAGACTCCCTTCTGCATAGAAACCTATCAGCTTCTAACCTCAGCTTGTTCAATGAAGCTTTGGCAATGAAACCTGGAAGCTGATTGGTTTCTATGCAGAAGGGAGTCTGATTTTGGACTCTCCAGCTTTAGTAAATAAACCCCAGTCTGTCTGGACAGTGTGGACCTGCTTGGAGTTTGCATGTTCTCTATGTGCCTGCGTGGGTTTCCTCCGGGTACTCCGGTTTCCTTCCACACTCCAAAGACATGCTGGTAGGGTGATTGGATCCTGTATAAATTGGCCCTAGTATGTGTATGTATGAATGTGAGTTAGGGACCTTAGATTGTACGCCCCTTGAGGGTTAGGGACTGATGTGAATGCACAATATATATATATATATATATATATGTAAAGCGCTGTGTAAATTGACGGCACTATATAAGTACCTAAATAAATAAATTATGGTTTGTACAGGTGTATAGGATTTCCGAAGGCAATTATGTGGATACCACTAAGTAAGGATTTCTAAAATAACATTCTCTATTCTATATTTACAGAGGGCCCCAAAATACTAACAACTGAACAAGAACCTGGAGACGCCACTTTCTGTTTTATCTTAACCTTCAAACTCATATAGACAATGTGATTGGTTGATGTCATTTTATCAGTTATTCTTTCAGCCAAAACCAAAACCCCAACTGCGTAAATGTTTCCTTAAAATATGTTCCTTAAATCATCTGAAGCAAACACGTTCTCTCTTTTCAAATAACAATTGTACAATTGGCCAAACATTTTGCCTGCAATGCACCAACTCCTTCATATGGAGATAGAAAAACTGTATAAATGTTTTCCGGAATGTGCAAACCGTTTCCAAAAAAATATTCAAGCTGTATAAACGTTTGCTTAGGATCATAAACTGTTTTAGACTTGGGTGGAATATTATTGTTTGAGATTCATATGATATTTTAGAGCAGCAGTGGGCATCTAAAAAGACAATTTGATGCTCAACTGGACCTTTACAGGTATACAATTACAAGAAACATCCATCAGAAGAAAAACAGCAATGGAAACTTTGGGGGAGAATTGGCTGAACCATGTATCTGTTCACCCCTTCTTTCTCCCACAGACTTTATGATTTCTGACACATTCTGAGAATAATCTTTTGTTCTTGGCCATGTGCTTCTGATATCAAGTAGGCAGGTGCAGTTATTCTTCCCGCATCTAGATGGCACTGTGTTGATACTACAAAGAAAGAGGAGTCTAAAGGGAAATTGTTCTCTTGTGGACTCTATGGTTTGAGCAGCCATGTTGACTTGAGAGCCTTTAAATAAGAGATCACATATTCAGGTATTTCTGCACGAGTAGCAGTTTAGGGAGAGAGACCTGTTGGGTAGGGACAGCGTAAAGCACAGAGAAAGGTTCCTGGCAAGCAGGGACAATGTGAGTGAAATGGTCTGGTGTCATCTAACCTTCTGGGGATTGCCTTTACTGGGCTATTGCAGCTTGGTTGTACAGCAAATCGCCACCCCTCCAGCCATCCTCTGGTAAAGTACAGAATGGAGCAAATCGCACATGTCTAGCCCTCTGGATCAAAGGAAAGCATGAAGACATGGCACACTGTAGAATAGGCAGTTCAGTTCTGCTAAGTACTTTTAGCTGAACTGAACTTCCTTTACTACAGTGTGCCATGTCTTCATACTTTCCTTTGATCCAGAGGGCTAGACATGTGTGATTTGCTCCGTTTTGATTCTTTTTCGGACAAAAATCTCATTCTTGGAGATTCGGATGTATGGAGATGAAGATGAATGGCAAGAAATATGAACAAAAGTTATAAAAAAATGATCAAATGTATTCTTTTTATTGACATGATGTCACCTAATGCAATAATAGTTCGGGCCCACGGGAAAATGAATTCAATTTTTGAATTTGTTCGATAATTCAGATTCGGTTAATGAATTCGGTTAACCAAATTTTGTTCCATTTGTTAACTTGGATTCACATGACGCCAGCCGATATTGTCCAATCAGCTTATGCCATTTGTCTTGATGGGTTGGACTAGCATTCGAAAATATTGGAATTTTTCCAATTCAAATCAATTGGATTCAATCCTATATCAAATATATAGCAATCATGCGGAGAAACGTTTGAATTTTGAAAATTTTCAAATCCACCTGGACCAACGAATATCCAAACTAATGCAAATATGAAGCAAATTCCAAAAATGAATCTGATGAAACAAAATTCTTCAATGCACGAATGCATCAGAAATGAAACGAAATGAAAATTTCCAACGTGCACATGTCTACAGAGGACAGCTCATTAAAGGCTTAGTTCAGCTTTATTTTTTCAGGTTAAACAAATGTGCATTATTTTTTTCCAGAGCCTGCAGAGCATTGCACTCATGATCAGCAGATCGCTGGTGCAATGTCAGGCTCCTGCAGACTCTCAGTATAGCTGTCTGCCTGTACCTCCTGTACTGATACAGTTACTGGAGAGCAGGAAGAATCAATGAACTGTGAGAGCGCTCACCCTGTACAATCACAGCCTGGGAGAACGAAAAGACTTGCAAGTCTTAGGGCACTTTCACATTGATCCGTAGCAAAAACACAGGAAAAACGCATATGCGTTTTTGCTACGATTTTGCTATGATTTCACTGCAATTGTGGTGAGTTTTTCACAGGACAAGTGACTCAAAAACTTTTTCCACGTTTTCAATGCATTTCACTATTGTAAAATGTGTGAAGACATACAGTACATAGACATACTGTACATACAGTGGGGGAAAATAATTATTTGATCCCCTGCAGATTTTGTAACTTTTCCCACTTACAAAGAAATGAAAGGTCTATAATTTTATCATAGATGTATTTTAAATGATAGAGATATAATATCAACCAAAAATCCTGAAAAAACACATGATACAAATGTTATAAATTGAGTTTCGGTTCAGTGAGTAAAATAAGTATTTGATCCCCTACCAACTAACAATGATTCTGGCTCCACATACTGGCTATGTGCTCATGTGTTACACAGATTAGTCCTGTCAATTTAAGACGGTGCCCCTAATGACAACTCGTTATGTGTATAAAAGACACCTATCCACAGAATCTCTTTCTTCCATTCAAACCTCACAATCATTATGGGCAAGATCAAAGAGCTGTGAAAGGACGACAGGGACGAGATTGTAGACCTGCACAAGGCTGGAAGGGCAATAAGACCATCAACAAGAATCTTGGTGAGAAGGAGACAACTGTTGGATTCAATTATTTCTTTGTAAGTGGGCAAACTTACAAAATCTGCAGGGGATCAAATAATTATTTTCCTCACTGTAGACATTTTTCTCCAACTTTTTTTATGCAAAAGCGCTTCAAAAACTTCTCAGTGTGGAAGCAGCCTTACCTAACTGCAGCAGAGAAAAATCAAGTCTCCTGCCCTGCGAAACATTTTTGTGCTGTGTGCAGGGGTTGACTGACCATTTGGGAACTTGGCACTGCCCGAGGGCCCGGGGTCAGTAGGGGGCCCCATGAGATGCCCCTGGTACCTTTCATAGGCTTTTTTAGGTGTGGTTTGAGTGTGGGTGAGGACACAGGGGCCCCATGATCCCCTATTTCCCGGGGGCCCCATGAGTTGTCAGTCCACCCCTGGCTGTGTGGCAGAGCTTTGTACATCTCAGGACTGGATGGACAACAGAAATACTAATTATTTGACAGGAAAAGCAACTTCTATTCATGTATTTCTTCAGTGTATTTTCCTGGAGTTCATGTTTTAAAAAAAATTTAAATTTTTAACGAAACCTTGAAAAGCAGCCCAAAGAACATACCTATCTCTCTGTTCAATTTTCTAATATGCTCCCCAAGTATTGTTCAAATATTAAAACTATCTTGTATCCATAAACACTAGACGAGACATTGATGGTGAACAAAGTTTTCCATTACAAGGACGGGGAACATAATAATGGCGGTTGCAAGGCAATTATTCTTAAGTGCTCCACTTTCTAGATGAAAAAAAACATTTGATATAACAAAATTAGATCTAGTGCGGAAATAGAAAACAATTTGCTGCTTCCATTCAAACCAATACACATGTATTTACTGAGTGAGGGACTCAAGCCTTTAAACAAGAGCCGATAAGTTCACTCCAATACTGAGCAAAAGTTATTACCGCAGCTAAGATACTGTTCTTGATCCCGGGGTCCTTTACAGGTTTAACTTTTCCTCCGATTGACGAAGGAGATTATTTTTTTGTTCCCACAGCTCATATTCTTCGTGTCAGAACTATAATCCTCACGGGGGTTCAGCGCAAAGCAGAAATGGACAGGGATGTGTAAACACCTTCAAGAGTAGTTTAAAATACTCTCTCATATTAAACCATCTGTTTATATGCAGAGGGGAAAAAACCTTCCAATTTTCTGTAACCAGACCCCGGCCTGAGATCCTTTGGGTGGTCTGTGTGTCAAAACCTGATTGAAAAGCCATTCAGAATGGTGAGGCTTTGCTGTAACTCTTTGCATGCCACACATACAGGTTCATTCATTAACACAAAGGGCGCTGTGAAAAAACATGGTCATTCATAGCCACCAATCGGAATTCATAAGATTTTGGTAAATTGAAGACCTGATTGGCTGTTTTTTTTTTTTTTGCAGTAGCAATATTCTTACTTTCTTACAACTAAATACATTCATAATACTCAACTACCTCCCTCTATTGCTGCTCTGCAAATGCTGTCAAGTTGTTCCTCCATGTGGAGAGTTGGTTCTAATATACATCTGTGAAGTCACTGTTTTCTCCACCCAAGTTTAACCTGTGTTGAGTAGCTCTGATGAAGGGTCAGTGGTGTTGCCTCCAAAACGCGTATTTATATGGCTTTTTATCCAAAAATTAAAACTATCTTGGACTTTTTTATTTGATTTTGGGCTGGTGCTCCTTTCTGTATTTCTGTGTTTTGAGCTACTGTTGGGTGCTCATCGTGGGAAGCCTTGCTGTGTGGGAGCCGCTTCAACAAAGCTATTGAGCTAGTTTGACTTTTTCCTTCATTTGGTTACGCAATCAAGTCAAAAAGTTCCCAGTGCCTCCTTGAGTATTTTTTTGTGAAAAATACAGTCGTTCATAGCCACCTATCATTTATCATGAGATTTGAGTAAACTAAAAAACGTATCTTGTTACACATGCATTGGTGTTTGTTTGCCTTTAAATAATGTTGTCCCTTCCTCATTCTGTAGCTAGGAGATGCTCTGTATAGTTAGTCCCACCTTCTTTTCATTGTGTCTTTAGTTTCTGTTCTGAGCACATAATATTGCTAGAGCTAGCCTCACTATGGTTTTATTAATCTATCTGATGTTCATATGTGAAGATCTGCACAAGCTTTGGATTAAAACTTTCTATGATTTGCAAGGTGTCATTTGGACTGAATAACTTTCTGCCAATGTTGAGTTTGTAAATTATAGCTACTGTATGTCACTACAACTGGATCAGTTATGGAGATTACACTTGCAATGCTTAGATTGGGAAAGCAGAACAAATATGATTGGTTGTTTTTTTTACTAATGCACTTATTCATTTCCTTTCTAGTGTAGCAACAGTCTCACTTTACAACTGAATATACATTCATAATACACTGCTCAAAAAAATTAGAGGAACACTTTTTAATCAGAGTATAGCACCAAGTCAATTAAACTGCTGGGATATTGATCTGGTCAGCTAAATAGCAGAGGGGGTTGTTAATCAGTTTTTTGAGCAGTGGTGAAATTAACAGGTGCACTAGATGGGCAACAATGAGACAACCCCTAAAACAGGAATAGTTTAGGTGGAGGCCACTGACATTTTTCCTTACTCATCTTTTCTGACTGTTTTTCCCTAGTTTTGCATTTGGCTAGGGTCCGTGTCACTACTGGTAGCATGAGGCAATACCTGGACCCTTCAGAGGTTGCACAGGCAGTCTAACTGCTCCAGGATGGCACATCAATATGTGCCATTGCCAGAAGGTTTGCTGTGTCTCCCAGTACAATCTCAAGAGCATGGAGGAGATTCCAGGAGACAGGCAGTTACTCTAGGAGAGCTGGACAGAACCATAGAAGGTCCTTAACCTCCCTGGCGGTATTCCCGAGTGTAGCTCGGGGTAAAGTTTCAGTACCAAAAGCGGTAACCCAGAGCAACACTTGAGCTTACCATAAGGCACTGCTCCGGGATCTGTTCTTCTCTTACCTTGTCCTGCGCTCCCGCGATGTCCCTCCTGCAGTATCCCCGGCAATGTTCTCCGGCGGATGCCGGCATCTGTCTTCTGGGTTCCATCCCCTGCGACATTGGGACGTACGGGGGACAGAACTGGCGGGAAATTTGAAAATGACAAAAAGTGACATTCACTAAATACACTAAAATCACATAGTAAAACATTACTGTATCAAACCATTTCACATACATTTTGTCCCGAGTGCTTTTTCCTGTGCCCTGCCTGCATTTTTACTGCTCTTTCTGACTGGAAACTGAGAAAAATCCATGGCATCCAAAAAGCGTCCCTTTAGGTCAAAAGCGGTTTTAGACCAGCTAGAGAACAGCGATAGTAAATTAGAACCACTTGCAGAATTGAGTGATAATGATTCGTGGGGAAATTCGTCATCAGACACTGAAAACGATTTTGCGACTTTGCTCAGTGATGTGCGAACATGTCACTCTATTTCAAATTTCAGTGTTTTTGGTTTGATTATATTATTGAATTAAATTTATTATTATATTATTATTTTTTATTATTATTTGTTAAATTATAATTTATGATTTCGTGTTTCAAATTTTATCATACCCGGGATATTAACTAGACTCTTGTTCAGACAGATTTCAGTGAATTATTCCTAAAAATTACAGGCCTATAATAAAAAAATACATATTTCCATGCCAAAAAATGTACCGCTTTGAGCACAGAAATATGGACATAATCAGACTGCTAGGGAGGTTAACCCACCTGCAGGACAGGTATCTGCTCATTTGTGCAACAGGATGAGCACTGCCAGAGCCCTACAAAATGACCTTCAGCGGGCCACTGCCATGAATGTCTCTCACCAAACAATCAGAAACAGACTTCATGAGGGTGGCCTGAGGGCCCGACATCCTCTAGTAGGACTTGTGCTCACTGCCCAGCACCACAGAGCTCGATTGGTACTTGCCAGTGAATACCAGAACTGACAAGTCCAGCACTGGCACCCTGTGCTTTTCACAGATGAAAGCAGGTTCACCTTGAGCACATGTGACAGACATGAAAGGGTCTGTGCTATTGTATTATGACAAAGGGGACTCCTCCACTGTCAGAGTACACTGATCAGCACTACAGGTGATTGAAAATTTTCAAGCAAAGCCAATCTGAGGGAAGTTGATCTTTAGCAGAGAGGTGGGGCAGGTGGAACGTTCCACCATGGTTCTCTTTAACTTGTTGGGCACCAAATCTGGGCCCACAAGAGGATTGTCCCCAACGTGGGTTCTTATCGGCTACGCTAGGCATCTGTAACAAGACCACTCTACTATACACATGGGATACCTTTTCTCTGTTCCGTTTTCATCAATGCCCTGGGACAAAGCTGAGGCTGCCATCAAGGAATACTCAACCTCAAGTTAGGCCTCCACTCGTACACCATGTACACTTGCACAACAACTGTCCTCCAGTTAACTCTTTGGTCCCTGTGAAAAAGTACATCTTCACTGTTGACTTGCCAATTAGGAGGGATACTCTGAGCCTTGTCCACATCCACCTGTCCAGCGTTTTCCATTACGTATCTTGGTAGCAGAACAAGGCCCCACTGTGTACCTAGTCAGGGTCTATATGTGCACTTGACTTAACTCTTGAACTTCTGTACCTCTGTACAGGATGGGGACCTCTGTGGTGCTGATCCACTTATGTAGCTATGGGAGACAGACCACTGGCAGAAGGGATACCAACAACATCTCCCTCACTGCATCCCATGCTGCTTCACTGAATGTTAATTTCTGTTACCTTTTGTAACCAGTTGCTGTCTCTTTAAGTGCTGTCTTCATACCCCAATATGTCTAGTGTCTCAAAGCTGCAAACTAAGTGTAAAATGTTCTGGTTACTTGCATTGTACTCCTTTAAGAACCTCAGACCAGGCAGAAAAAAAAGTTTCAAGGCTTTACTTAAAATAGTGCCAGAAACATTACAGAGTTCAGCATGCAAGAACAGTCCTTTTTCCTATGTCCCTATACCCTAACTCAGGATTGTGTGCTGTCCTGGCATACCTGCAAAAGGTAGAGTCCATCAGTGGTACGTTCATTGGTATCAGCAGAATCTAGCAGCTGGTGTCTTTGGAGTGAGCTTCAGGCTCTGGGCTTCCTGCATTACTATGGATTCCAAGATGACAGAAAGGTGTAACGCCATTCTCTTTCAGACCAAGGATTCGTGACAAGAGCCTCAGACTCCAGACTGCTGTCACTTTTATAATCCCAGGATCAGTGGGTCGGACCCAAAAAGCCCACCAAGCAGAAAACCCAGGAACTCAGGTTAACCCTTACACTCCCATTTGGGGCAGCACCAAGCTAGCTGGTTTGCATAAACAATTGTACTCTTGATGGGATTGTGAAGGCAACTTACTAACACTTTTTTATCCGTAAAATATCAATATTTATTTGTACAGACTAAAACGTATATCA